GAAGCCTCAAGAGAGCCCCAACATTGGGTTAAGTGCTCCAATATGGAGAAGGATATGCCCTAAGAATGCACCAAGATCGCCGAAGATTGGCGCAAACATGCCCCAAATTTGGCTGCCCATTGGAGCAAGCTTTCGTAAGCAACAAAAACGACAAAAAACTGTCAAAGCCACCTTTCTTACACTTGTCGGACCTGATGTTTCATGGATTTATGGTGTTTTACGCACAGTACGCAAAAGACCACCTGCCAAGTCAAACGGGGCAGAGAAAAAAGCAGCCAAGTGGACCAACATGGCCGCAAAACAAGTAACATAACAGCAGCAAAGCCTTCAACATAGCCCTGATCTAGACCCCAACGGCCCCAATCACTTCCAACATACCTCCACGAGAAGCCGCAAGAGAGCCCCAACATTGGGTGGAGTGCTCCAATATGGAAAAGGATATGTCCCAAGAATGCACCAAGATCGCCGAAGATTGGCACAAACGTGCCCCGAAGTTGACCACCCACTGGAGCAAGCTTTCATAAGACAAAGCAGCAAAAACGACAAAGAAAACTATCAAGAGCACTTTTCTTATACTTGTCGGACCTCAATTTGCTCATTGTTTTTACAGTGTTTTACCCGCGCTACGAAAAAGACCACGCGCCGAAGTCCAGCAGGAGAGAAAAAGCAGCTAAGTGGACCAACATGGCCGCAAAACAAGTGACATAACAGCAGCAAAGCCTTCAACATAGCCCTGATCTAGACCCCACGGCCCCCAATCACTTCCAACATACCTCCACGAGAAGCCGCCCCAACACCGGGCGAAATGCGCCAACAGGAAAAGGACACGTCCCAAGAATGCACCAAGATCGCCGAAGACTGGCACAAACGTGCCCCAAATTTGACCACCCACTGGAGCAAGCTTGCATAAGCAACAAAAATGCAAAAAATACAACAACTGTCAAAACCAACTTTCTTACACTTGTCGGACCTCATGTTTCATGGTACATAGTTTTTTTTAGTGCTTTACACACACTACGCAAAAGACCACCTGCCCAAGTCAAACCGCAGAGAAAAAGCAGCTAAGTGGACCAACATGGCCGCAGAACAAGTAACATAACAGCAGCAAAGCCTTCAACATAGCCCTGATCTAGACCCCAACGGCCCCAATCACTTCCAACATACCTCCACGAGAAGCCGCAAGAGAGCCCCAACATTGGGTGGAGTGCTCCAATACGGAAAAGGATATGTCCCAAGAATGCGCCAAGATCGCCGAAGATTGGCGCAAACGTGCCCCGAAGTTGACCACCCACTGGAGCAAGCTTTCATAAGACAAAGCAGCAAAAACGACAAAGAAAACTATCAAAACCACTTTTCTTACACTTGTCGGACCTAATTTTTTCATTGTTTTTACAGTGTTTTACCCGCGCTACGAAAAAGAGCACGTGCCGAAGTCAAACAGCAGAGACAAAGCAGCCAAGTGGACCAACATGGCCGCAAAACAAGTGACATAACAGCAGCAAACCTTCAACATAGCCCTGATCTAGACCCCACGGCCCCAATCACTTCCAACATACGTCCACGAGAAGCCTCAAGAGAGCCCCAACATTGGGTGAAATGCGCCAATATGGAAAAAGATATGCCCCAAGAATGCACCACGATCGCCGAAGATTGGCACAAACGTGCACCAATTTTGACCACCCACTGGAGCAAGCTTGCAAGCTCAAGAGAGCCCCAACATCGGGTGAAATGCGCCAATATGGAAAAGGACATGCCCCAAGAATGCACCAAGATCGCCGAAGATTGGCACAAACGTGCCCCAATTTTGACCACCCACTGGAGCAAGCTTGCATAAGCAACAAAAATGACAAAAAAACTGTCAAAACCAACTTTCTTACACTTGTCGGACCTCATTTTTCATGGTACAGAATAATCTTCTATAGTTCTTTACACAGACTACGCAAAAGACCACCTGCCCAAGTCAAACCGCAGAGAAAAAGCAGCCAAGTGGACCAACATGGCCGCAAAACAAGTAGCGTAACAGCAGCAAAGCCTTCAACATAGCCCTGGGCGAAACGCGCCAACATGGAACAGGATATGGCCCAAGAATGCACCAAGATCGCCGAAGATTGGCACAAACGTGCCCCGAACTTAGGTACCCACTGGAGCTAGCTTTCATGTTTTTTGTGTTTCACACGCACTGCGCAAAAGACCACCTGCCCAAGTCAAACAGTAGAGAAAAAGCAGCCAAATGGACCAACATGGCCGCAAAACAAGTAACATAACAGCAGCAAAGCCTTCAACATAGCCCTGATCTAGACCCCACGCCCCCAATCACTTCCAACATACCTCCACGAGAAGCCTCAAGCGAGCCCCAACATTGGGTTAAGTGCTCCAATATGGAAAAGGATATGTCCCAAGAATGCACCAAGATCGCCGAAGATTGGCACAAACGTGCCCCGAATTTGACCACCCACTGGAGCAAGCTCTCACAAGACAAAGCAACAAAAACGACAAAGAAAACTGTCAAGCCCTTTCTTACACTTGTCGGACCTCATTTTTCACGTGTTTTTGTGTTTTACACGCACTACGCAAAAGACCACCTGCCCAAGTCAATCGGCAAAGAAAAAAAGCAGCCAAGTGGACCAGCATGTCTGCAAAACAAGTGACATAACAGCAGCAAAGCCTTCAACATAGCCCTGATCTAGACCCCACGGCCCCAATCACTTCCAACATACCTCCACGAGAAGGCTCAAAGAGAGCCCCAACATTGGGCGAAACGCGCCAAGATGGAGAAGGATATGCCCCAGGAATGCCTGAAGATTTGCACAAACCTGCCCTAAATTTGACCACCAACTGGAGCAAGCTTTCATAAGCAATAAAGCTCTCACAAACACATTTCTTGCACTTGTCCAAACCTTTGCGATGCTGGTTATGCTCCCTGGGGAAGACTGCAGTATTGACATCATGGGTGTGCTCGTCAGGAGCAAGTTTTCATACGCAAACAAACGATAAAAAGAAGAAGTCAAAAACACCTTCCTTACACTTGTGGGACCTCATTTTTTCATGGTTTTTACAGTGTTTTATGCACATTGCACTTCAAAGCCTTCGAATGCGAGATAACAAGATAAACCTCAAAAATTGCCTCCCGTGCAGGTAAAATGCAACTTTTTGAAGGTAAATAAGCCCAACACAAACCCATCCAAAGCCATTTTTTACTGTAAATTACAGTGTTTTATGGACCTTCGAACATGCCAAAAAAAGCCCGCACGGTCTGCAAATCAGCTTGGCCCCCCCCCCCCCCCCCCCCCCCTCCCCTTTCGGTAATACTTCCAAGCGCTACAGCGCTTTCCGTCATCTCTTGAGGTTTTTGCGACTGTAGCTTATGAAGCAACACTCTCTAGAAGGTTTCTGTGCTCAGTTTCAGAAGAATTCCTTTCACATCATGACTGTCTGTACCGTTTGTGGGCCAAGGACTGAATTTAATGTTGGTGGGTGCTTGTGGGCAAACTTGCTCAATGGGAGTGGTGAAGCCACGAGTTTCACTCAACGGGATACTGCAGTGCCATGACGAGTTTGCAAACGACCAAACAGCTCCGGCAAAAGGCCCGGCAAAAGCCCCTTCATCACAAACCCCCGCAGAGCCCCACGTCCGTCACCAGCGTGGTCTCTCAAAGCTCAATGAATATAATGAATCATGAATGAAACCAATTAAATATATCAATGTTGAATCATGTTGAATCTACATTCATCTCTCTCCCTCACAAAAGCTTCTGGACATCTCTCTATTCGAGTGGCAGCTTCTCGCGGCTCCTTGCAGTTGTAAGGCAGCAAGATCTGAGCGTAGCGGTTTATTACGTGGTGATTGCCTTTGCGCACCACCTGCCATTCAGTCCCAGCGGAGACTCCCGTGCCATTGGTGGAGGTGTCCTCCAAACACATCGCCGCTTCAGCTTCAGGCTTGTCGGGTGGCCTGAAGGGATCATGGATAGGTCCTAGATGGATGATCAATTGATCTAAACTGCAACAGAAAGGGAACCGCAAAAAGAACCAGGTCAAGTTCTCCACTTTGATCGATTCCAAACACAAGGATGTTTTGGAACGTGAAATTGCAACTCTTTGGACTGCTGGTGGCTGCTGGCAGCTGCAGCCACCGGCCACCAGCGAGATTCATGTCTTTTCCGTGCCTGTACCGCAGCACAGCATGATGTCCAGATACCCCGCGTGAGGCCACCACCACATCACAGTCTGCACCACGGCCAAGCAACAAGGCATTTCCAGGTTGTAGGACAAACTGCAGGTACTCAGCCTTTTCAGAAAAAGCTCAAAGAGTCAGCAGGCAAAAGGCTCTAAACGTCCAAGATTGTGTTTTGATGATTCTTGATGTGTATCTGGAAAGGTGTGTTTCTCTCACAGTTGTATGAACTGAATGTAAAATTTGGAGGTCACCGCATGGTATGGAGAAAAGTGATGCCAAAGAGACAGCTTAATCGACCCCACGTTTCTGTGCTGGTGCAGTATGTTTAAGTCGGACAAGTAGCACCGTGACTGAAGGTAACCACCTTTGGCACGGCCTTGCCGCTGACCTTTCCACCGTCATTCATCCCATCCTCGTGAAACGAGCGCTGGACCAAGTGGTGATCCTAGCGCCACCAGCTCGGATGATGAGAAATCCAATATGATTTCGATTTCAGTGGAGGTACGATGAGATTGGTTGGGATTTGCTTGGTCTGTGTTCCTATGCCTCTCTAAGGCCATTTGATTATGGCTGTCTTCCTGGGCCATGTCCCAGTCGTCCCTATGTCTTGTGCTCACTCCATTTGGCTGTCTGCAGTCTGCAGCAAGAACCCTCTATATAGAAACCTGATTGAGCAAAGTGAGGCGGCAAAATCTGCTCATCTGAACGCAAAACTGCCTTCCAAACTGTTTCTGTCATTGACTCGCTCCCTCTCTCTCTCTCTCTTTCCTTTGCCTTACTGATGAACACAAGACTCGCTGAACTGAAGACTCGCTCACCGGTCCCCATGCACCACAAAGCCGGAATTGGCCAACCTCCCTGGCCTTGGCACCGTCGCCAATGAGTCCGGCGATGGAAAGCACATGAAAACACTCAAAAACTCGACGTGCCAGTGACGAAAAATTCAACGGGCGATGTGGAAAAAGCTCACCTGTGATGTTGGACAGCTCTGTTCTAAAGAACCGTGAATTTTGATGATCCTCAGCGAGGATCCCACCAGTTCCAGACAGCTTCAATGTTTACGCAAGCAATCGTGGCAGCCGTTCGATTGAGTGTAGAAAGTGCTGGATGGTGCTGGTATAGCAGCTAGCAGGAATCCACCCATCAACACGTCCTTTTCTCTCTATTCAGGCAGTGAAGCTCGGCCACAGCCGTGCCAAGCAACAGCAAGAGAGCATAGACAGACCTGATCCCCATCCCCGCAAAGAAGTGACACAAAGTGACACCAGAATCAAGGAGGTTGGCATATAAAAAATGCGAAAGTTAAAGATCAGACTGCTGAAATCTGCTGAAAGCTAAGAAAGGCACGAGCACACATGGTCAACATCCTCGGTGAAAAAAAACAGGACACGAAAGCGTTCAACAGCACAGAAGGAAGACGTTCGCGGCAAACGGTGAGCTCTTCCAGCTAAAATGACAACAGCAAGGCAGTCCCAGGATCAATGCAGCTAGAGCGGTCCAGCCAGGTAAATGTCGCAAGAAATGCATTGCAGGCAACTGCAGCATCACTCCCAAGAGGTCCAAGGCGACCAAGAGGCGGAAATTCTGAGCATTGCAATCATGCGAATGGATAGGATCTTCAATGCCAATTCATGAATGTTGCATCCTGCTGTCCATTTCTGATGTCTGTGACCTCAACTGGCCCCCTATCTAAAGATCAGCTACATGACGCGACTTGGTGGCCTTCGTCGCCAGCATGGCACCATCCACAGGATATTCGAACACCTTGTGGCCCAACGGTTTGCCGGTTTGCTGTGTCAATTCCGTGTTTCGTGGGGCCTGACTCAAACCCAAAAAACGAAGCAGGTCTCACATGACATGATAGTTATACTGGTGAAACCTTCAGTCGTAGCCTACAGCCCAGCAGCAAGGGATGCCACCGTGATCAGCAAGACCGGCGACAAGTGCTGGAGCAATCGTAGCACATCTGGGTCAGCCTTGGATTGGATAATCAGAATGAATTTCAACATAATGCAGGTGTTTGTAATTTGTATATGCAAGATGTTTAACAGCACCCTTACATGAGGTCGTGGGGCCGTTAGACTTGGGGGCATATGAGCCACCAAACGCCCAACCTCAAAAATCAAACACAGAGATGGCCAGAAAGTCCAATCTGGCATTATTCGTGAAGAGAAATGAAGATCAGCTAGAGTCTGCATTGGCACCACTCCATGCTGCGACTACAGCTTCAATGCTTGGACGAGGCTCCGAGAAGAGGCGACCGCCAAGCCACGCAGCCAAGGCTGCCAAACTTCCAGCACCCAGTCCAAAGACAAGGCCCAAAGTAAGCAGGCTCCTAGCCGTGGAGGACCAACAAATCCAAGCCAGACAAATTTTCAATGCGGTAATTAGGGAGGTAGGCCCCTACCATATACCCCTAGACTATACGTGAACCATTGTGAACAGGTCAAGACTTGTTCTTGCCAAATGCTGCTGGTGTGCTCAAGGACTGCGGAGGCGAATTCTTGCCGCCGAGCATCTTCACCGCCCGCCGCACACCGCGGCGGTCCTTTTGCTCCAGCAATGGTGGTAGCATCGCTTGGGCTGCCTGGCTCAGAGGCTCTCCAAAGAGGCCGAAGAGAGTGTACAGATTGATGAGAACCTGGTAGGCCGCAAGGGCAGTGGTTCCCAGTGAAGCCGCATACAATGCCATGGCTGACAGGGTGAGGAAGCGGGAGATCAGAACCAACAATAAAGGACCTGCACAACGGCAAAGGCATGACTTCATGTTCGTCTACTGGCTACAAACTCGAAACACAAAGTAAGAATAGCTTGGATGTGCTGCTGCAACGTTTGAATACCACAAACTGGCCTGCGTACTCGAGCAAAGGCTCAAGGTACGCTACCTGCATCACTGGATGACTGTCCAATCCGACTGACATCTGTTCAGTTTCACCAGTGCTGCAAGAACAACACTCCCATGTTGGGTTTGTTGGACTATGCTGAGCTCACCGTAAGCCCGGCACTGATGTCGGAAGCCGAAGCCAACTCCCTGGAAGCAACTCCTGCGCAAAGTTCTGCAGAATAAACTAAACTGAACTGCACGTTGATCAGTTGGGGGAGTTGTCCTAAAGTGTTCTACCCGAAAAGTTGTCCTTTGCTTCTTTCGCAAAACTTTCGTTTCCCTTACTCCAGCTTTCGCAACGTGAAGAGTTTACCTTCAACAGCATGACTTGAAAGCTCAGCAACTAAATCCTAGACATTCCTAGTTAGACTTCGGTAACGACCAACCTCAAGTCTAGGGCCCTCCAGTTTTTGAGGTTCGTACATTCCGTTCTGTGTGGGTGTGACATGACATCCTATACTATTCTCTCTCTATGTATGTACACAAAATGTATCAAAACGATTCAAAACGTGTATGTACACCAGTCACAGTCATGTTAGTTTGGCGGTGACTAAGGGTTCTTTCATGTTTTTGCTCGACCTGTTTCGACCGCAACACAGCGCCGTGACGCGAGAGGAGTGGCGACTCTGTCCCGGGCGCGAAGTGCTCGCAGCATCAACACGAAGCTGAGCCTGTGGCACATTTGCCGGTGAAATCGTGTAGATGTGTGTGAACAACAATCTCCATGATCACCTCAACTGCCAAAAAGAACCATCCAATGAAGACCTCCAACACCTCAAGTCTTCTACATATGCCTCCCCTTCGAAGCGCCCCCCCGACCCCACCACGTCGCGAAGGAGGTGGCGAGTGCAGCACCGGCCACACCCAAATGTCCTGGCCACGCACAAAGAAGGAAGTCGCCACCTGGGCTCGCCACAGAAGGATAAACAGGAGCATACAGCAGCCCATCACGGCAGCAACCGCAGGACATCACCACTAGTGTGCACTCCAATGTAGCTAGTAGCTTCTTGTTACTAGTAGTGATGGCCTCCGCCTAGTAATTATCGTCCTTGTACTCAAGAACTGAAACCATGCGAAACCTGCGCTACCTCATTCTAAGCTGGCAACAAATATTGGCGATGGCCTCGATAGCCACAACCTGCGAGAGAAGAAAGGAGGTGTGCCACCCCGCCTCTTCTGCTTCAACTATCTTCAACTCTGAATCTGTGAAACCATGGCATGGATACATGTACCACACCCAGCTATGAGGATCCTAGTGGATTCTTTCCGGGTGTTGCTTCTATCCTGCTCAGTCGTTGCAGCACAGCAAGGACTAGCTGAACAGCTCAGCTGCCTTCAGCGGCGTGATTGAATCTTTGGTGGCCAAGAGCGCTGAGAGGCACACACTCTGCGCGAGTGTGGCCCAAGTCATTGCACCGCGACTCGGTAGGCATGGGGACAGTCAAATGATGCACCGGGGCCCTATGTTCCATATAAACTGGGCGTGTATATATATATATATATGTATAGATATTAGAGTAACATATCTAGCATCTCAAGCGGCAAAGCTGGGATGAGGAGCTGTTAGCAGGAAATCGAAGCATCATTTTACGAACCAATATTATGCTGTCTCTGCCACGCACTCTGGTAGAGACCGCTGGAACGGTCTTCACAACTCGAGTCGAGAGCTTCATAATATGTCATTATTATAAGTAAACCGGGGGGAGAGTCAACTAATGACTAATGATCTGTGTTCGATAACTGCCTGCTCTCCCAAAAGCAGCGACTTTTCTGAGGTTGCCGGACCTTATTTCTTAGGTCACGGTTGTATTCGGAAACTGGGACCGTTGTATTCAGAAACTAAACGGTTGACAGTTGATGACAGTTGTATTCGGAAACTGGCATTCGGAACTACAGCGTGGGATTCAGAAACTGATAATTGGAAACTGCCCATTTGCATTCAGAAACTAAACAGTTGTATTCGGAAACTGGACGGTTGTATTCGGAAACTAATGTTCGGAAACTACAAAGAGCAACCAACACTATTCACGGAGATCATCAACTTTTCACGCAACTACCCACCTATGTTTTTCCCGCCCAACCCCCGCCACCCCACCCCCATAATTTTTACAGAATACGAGGAACATAGTTTCTGAATACCACGAACATAGTTTCTTTTCTGAATCCCACAGTTTTTGAATACAACGAAATAGTTTCTGAATAGAGTATACGACAAAGTAGTTTCTGAATACGACTACGACGACAATAGTTTCTGAATACCACGAAAATAGTTTATTTTCTGAATCCCACAGTTTCTGAATACAACGAAATAGTTTCTGAAGACTAGCTTCTGAATACAGCGCAGTTTCATGCAGTTTCTGAATACGACTTTGTTCCCTTGGTTCACCACCAGTGTGCAGCAAAGGAGCATTCTTGCATAAGCTGACGCATGGGGCAAAAGCACAGGCGATATATGAATCAGCTTCAGGATACGCTCCTCATGCAGTGCTCGCCCAATCCCCACACCGGGTCCAATGGACCACTTAGACGTAGAATAATGTTAATGCACAAAAGCCCAGTGGTTCTACAAAATTGTCAGAATCTTCACTTAGACTAGACTTGGACCTAGAGCACAGTTGGCTCAGGCTTTGACACCACCCGCATGAACGACATGCGCTATGCCATGCACTCTGTCCGAGTAGGTGACGTACATCAGCGACAGGGCGATGCCCAGTGGCATGGCCACACTCAAGGCACGAACCAATTCCGCTTGCGCTGCCTGTGGCATCAGGCCGGGAACACTCGTGACACCTGTTTCGTGGTTTTGAGGGGTGGCACAACTTAACCTGCTAAGCACTGTAACAAGAAAGTTGTACCATGACGAAATCACGGCTGAAGACTCAACGCCCTGGGCCACTGCACCTTGGCTCCTTTGGCCGCTGCGCGGGACACCAAGCCCACAGTGGCTCGTGGCAGGAAAACGACCAAATACCTGGAAAG